TGTGCTACATTTTGTGTTGTCTACATGATTATCTGTGACTTTAATGTTAATTTTCAGACTCTTTTTGACCACTCTGGCTCCCTCGCTCAGTGGAGCAGCAGCAGCAGCAGGCCAAACATCAGTTAGGATGTTTCACCTTTGAAGGGACTGTACAGATGAGTTTACTCCGTGCCATCATGGTTGTTAGGGTTCCCAGTCAGACAACAGGCAGTGATGCTGTACTCTATACGGCTCTGGTTCTTTTTTGACCACACATCTCGGTTGTTGTCTTTTTATGTTTCATTGATTGTTCTAGCCAGGCGGAAAATTTCTCCTATATCCCGTGAAAAGGTCTGACTGTCATTGCCCTGATGGAATATCTCCCTGTAGCATGTTAAACTGGACTTTTATTGAGCTAATAATAGAATAGGTTGCGCCTGTCAGCACCTCACTGTTCAGGTGTTGAAAAACAAATGGTCAAATGCATAATACTGAAATTGTTGTGTGCTTTTGCAAAGCACCCCTTATGTGTATCGAGGATAGATTCACAAAGGGTAGTGGCAAGGGTCAGAAATTTCTCTTTTCTCTGCAAAATGGATGGAATGTTGTCATCATGTAAGACTTGCTTAATGTTTTTAAAATTACCATTCAACCCTGGGCATAGCTTCTTTGCCTATCCTGTTGTTATATTTAAATAGATTGTGTGGATTCATACAGTAAGGATAGACATTTGACAGTAGAACTCACTGACCGAGGAGGAATTGGGAGCTTTTGTAAATATTGTCAGAACGATACAGTCTGTTTACTGTTTTTCTGTCCGTGGTCGGTACAGCAACAAGACACTGAAGACAGTTATTTTTTCCTTCAAACTGCAGTTGCTTGTATAATTTTACCAGTTACACAGTCTCAAAAAGGCATGGACCAGTTAGGCTGTTTACTAAAAAAATGACATCTCAGCTGTTGTATGAGGTGGTGCCTGAGAACAAAAGAATGTAGTGAATATGATGTATTACTAGTAGACTTAACCCCTCGCCTCTGTTCACAGGCGCTATGGGACATTCCCACAGTGCCAGCTTTGACAGTAGAGCCTCTGGGAGAATGGCCTGTTTGCACACCACGCTATTGACACCCTTAATGTGTTTTTAATAGCTCCTTCATAGTGATGAAAAACTGCCTAAAGTGGCTCAGGACTGGAGACTTTTATGGCCTGGCAGTGCCAGGGTGCTGCTGCCAGTGGCCCATCGGTTTGTGTGGTGACAGCGAGGAGGCCGGCCAGGGCCTTATAGTTTTATGACACATGATGCTTTTCCAGCTCTCTGCTTTTATCACCAGTACATGGCAAGCACTAAAAATGTCTGTTTGATTATGTCTGTTTGATTATGTGTGCTCATATTTGCATGTGTGGTTTTAATGTTGCAGGAGTACCTGGATGTCCTGGGCCGTCCTATGGTGCTGGCTGGGCCCAGAGCCAAGCAGGTGCAGTGGACAAACGTCTACCAGGATGCTCTGGTGAGAGGCGCCTTACAAAGAAAGAACATTTTATTTGATCAGCACTTAGTTAATATGTAAGGTTCCCAAAATATTTCGTCTGTAGGCTAATACAGTGTTATAATTCTGTTTCATTGTTTAGTCCTTCCATTCTTTGTTAATCATCAGTGTTTCTTAAAAATATTTGGCAAATTCAGGGTCATCAACTCTTGCAATTTGTCCTAGTATATGATTGTTTGCACAGTTTAATATAATAACCTATGGGTAGATTTGTTGTCAGAACCTTTCTATCTATTCGGTTTTACTCTTTTTATTGAGTTTAAGTTTTACTTCACTTATTTGCAGTTCTTTTTTTTTTATTTTGTACTATATTAACTTTTTTTTTTTTAATTCTCTAATTTGTAAATTCCTGTAGGGTTTGGGCCTTGTCATCACTGGGACAATGCCAGTGTTCAACCTCACTGCTGATAGTGCAAGCTCTCAGGTAAAAGCAACACTGCAATACAAGACATGGATTAAAATACCCACACATTTACAAGTAAACAAACTATATATGTAATGTATACCACAGCTCTTAAGTCAGTGTTTTTACTGGCATTTAGGTGCTTAGATCTGTGAAGGTGTAGAGTTATATAAACAGAAGCAGGTGCCAAAGTAGCCAGAGGGTTTTATTTGCATCTCATCGGTGCTGTTGACCATCATCAGGCGTTTGTAATGGCGTCCACATTGCTGCTGCTCTTCAAGGCAACACCTCCCCCCTGAGGGGACAACAGACATCACAGTCATACAGCTGATGTATCTGCTTTCATCCACAATCAAAGTATTTACTCTGAGCTTATCTCACAGGCTTAAAGCGTTATGCTGCCGCAGAACAACTCAGCTTTAGAAAGACTGTAAAAAGATTGACTAATCAGATTGCACTCAAAGTGACGATAAGTCTGAGATGGCATGGAGATGTTAACATCCTCACAGCACAGCAGCTCGATGTGATTCTTTGATGCCAGCTGGGGTTGTGGGTAGAATGCTAATAATCGCTTTATGTCTTCTTAATGCAGAACCAGCTCATTCTGGGAGTCATGGGAGTAGACATTGCAATCAATGAAATAAAAAAGAAGACACCTACATACAGAGTGAGCGTGCTGTACACTCAGTACCACTCTCTCACATTCACATATTGATGATTATGGGATCTTCATTCACCCTCTTTTTTTGTGCAGCTTGGGGCTAATGGTTACATCTTTGCCATTGATCCAAATGGCTATGTACTGCTGCATCCCAACCTGCAACCTAAGGTAGGTCCAACTGCTACATCAGCTCTGCATCAGATGTGTCTGCTGCTTCTGAAGCTAAATTTAGACATTATTCCTGTGCTGACTGGTGTTAACCGCCCCCCTCTGTCTTCCCCTGCTTCTCGTCTCTCTGCTCAGATCATTAACTTCAGGGAGCCTGTCACTCTGGACTTTCTGGATGCAGAGCTGGAGGACAGCAACAAGGAGGAGGTTAAAAAAAACAGTCTCTCTGAAGCATTGTCAGTGGCATAAAGTCATGTGTATTCTCATGTGTTTAATCTGTATATTTGCCACCTGTTGTTCCACACTATTTCTATGCCTTCTCATGTCACAGCATCTCTCGCTTGCTTTTTAGATCCGCCGACTAATGATTGATGGCAAATCAGGGCAAAGGAAAATCAAGACACTCATTAAGTCAGTTGATGAGGCAAGTCATCAATATATGAGACTCAATCATGATCCAGAGTAGCACCTTCCTGAATGGCGATTTAACCAATCTGAATCACTCAGTATGTTTAGGATATGTTGTTTCCCTCCAATTATGGGAGGAGACATGCCAAGGATGTGACGGTGTTACTTATCAGAGCCTTTGTGGTTGCCAACAGAGGTACATCGACGAGGCCATGCGGACGTACACATGGACCCCTGTGGAGGGTACAGATTACAGGTAGGTTTCAAATCAGACATGATCACCTGACCTCACACCAACAGATTGTGCAACTTGAACCCGTGAGTGAAGTCCAACTTCGCTGCTTTTTATTTGCCTGTTTAGAGTTGTGGGTCTCAGATGTTACAGTTGTTACTCATCAACCAGCTGTGTTTGTTACATGTAACTGTCACTACCATATGGAATTGACAAAACCAGTCACTTGTCTTCTGTGTTTACATCAAATAATTAATCTGAACCACCCAAATTAAAGGGCCGTTTTTCTTCTCAAAAAAAAAATCTAGTCTGTCTTCTGTCTTTAGTTGCGTGGTTTGCTCATCTCAGAACTTTGTTAAACATTAAAGGTTGCGTCATAATTCCTCTAGGCAACACTTGGAAAATTGCAGTTTATGATATTCAATAGTCCTACAAATGCCTGATGTCTGTTTTTTTATTATATCTGCTGGCAGCATGCCTGGTCCTGGCTGAGTTTGAGGATTTCTCTCTGCACAATTCTGTTAATATTTAACTCAAAGGGAAATTCCAGCATCGACCCTGCAATAGACAAATTTAATCCTAGCCAGACTTTCAGAGCTTTATACTCTTTGCATCCTACATTTTAGAGTTTAAAGCAGTACTTTAAATCAAAATGAGCTTTATTTAATGGCCAGCTGTAGCTGTAGCTCAGTGTGAACCTGCTATGTCACAATCTGATTTTCCATCTGTTGTAATTAATCCTCTTGCTGAGTTATATTTTAGCTTTGTAGTGCACCACAGATTAAGAGATAGAACACATTTTGCTCTTTAATGTGCAGCTTTGGTAGAAGAGGGAATTTTTAGTACATAAAACCTACTATACGTAGATCAGACAGAAACACTACAGCAGTGATGTATTACAAAGCAAAAGTGGCTTTTTCGTTTTTATAACTTTTGTTTGAAACCTTTCATTGGTTGTTACTTAAACAGAAATAAATCTCAGAACTACTCTAATCAATATTTTTGAGGTGTAGTTTGAAAGTTGTTGCTCTTAGTACCAAACTCAGTCAGTGTTGTCATCACAGATCCTTTTGTGCCTTCCTTTCTGGCCAGCCTGGAGTTAATAGCCCTTAGGCTTATAAAGCAGTTAAAAGTCCTCTGTGGAGTCTTCTTGCTAACGAACAATTATGTCAGTGTTCATTCATTTTCACCAAATCACAGTGAACCACTTAGGTCTAAAAAAACATGTTTAATGTATTTCCTTATTATTAAAGCAACAATATGTAATTTAAGGTGATGCTAGCATGAAGCTCCGCTCACCTCACCCTCCCTCTGCTCTACTATGATCTGCTACGCACCGCCACGCTCTGTCCAGCTCTTCAGATATTTGTCTTTATGAAATTACAACAAATGAGATTGCAACAAAACTAATGATGAAGCAGAGATAATTAAAAATCTCTGACTGTTATAGAGGTCAATCCTGCTCAAAACCATTTAGAAGCTAATGTCTCTGCACTGCTGCCAGTGCTGGTCGATGAGTCTGAGTCACAGGAGGCTTCGACAGTACCTCTCCACATGAAGACAAATTTTAAAGCATTTTTCCTCCACAAAAATTTGTGAAAAAAGTTACATACTGTAGCTTTAAGCCAATTTGTAGAATATTTTGGAACCTGCATTGTTTACATCTGTGTTTGCTAGCTTGTAATTATCATCTTCCTTGTCTTTCCTGGAGCATTGCTACTAATGCCACCTTTTGATAGTGGAACATGTTCCTGACTTTCTGCATCTACCTCAGTCTAGGGCTGGTTCTGCCCACGTATAGTGAAAACCACATCAAGGCCAACCTGAGCGACCAGATCCTTCAGGTGCAGTGTAAGTACCCGGGAATACCCAGCATCCTTCACTCTCTGGCGCACTCCTCTTCTCTTTCTCTTTCCACTCTTTTCACCTCTCTCTCCCAAATATGACCTTAAGCTCTTATTCAGTTCTTTGTCCTGGGTCTCCAACATCATCAATGGGAGAGTCTGAGCGGAGTCGCCTGCCCCGCTCTTCTTCTTCCCCTTTCTCCCCCTTCCTACACTCTCTGATAGGCAGGATCTTACCCGAGTCCCCCGACTCCTCTACTGCCCCCTGTTCCCTCCTGTCTTCATGCTGTGCTGTAAACTGGTGATGTTTTTTCTTCACACTGGCTGAAGAAAAAAATAACTCAACTGACAGAAAGGTGAAAGCTGTGGTTTTACTGTGTTACTCGGGTGAAAATAATGGTGACCGTTGTGCTATTATTTTTTTTGCCAAATGCTCTCGCCTCTTCTCCACCAAGTAATGATTCTGAAGCGTCTGTGTTCAAAGTATTTGATGGTCTAAAGAACTGTGAAAACATGCATGCTTTTCACTCCTTATGATCAGTTTTATTATTTGAGGAATTTTTCTTCTGTCATGTGTTTTGTTTTATTTATATATTTATTTATTTTCTGTTGGATTGTGTACGATGTTTCTCAGCTTTGGAATCATTCAGCAGATAAACTCCCACACAGCCCGGGATAAGGGCTTGTCGAATGTTGGAGTTTTTTTTTTTTTTTTTTTTTTTTGGGTCTGAATGGGGACACGTGTTGTCTCTCTCATTCTTTACTTGTACAGACCCTGTTACTCACCTCTTTTCCTGGTTAATTTGATTCATTTTTTTTGTTCCACCACTGTTATCTCTCACAGTTACTGGTTTTGTCTTTATAGTTTTCCTTTCCTGGATTTCCCACTGTCTTTTCTTTCTTCCATTGTTTTGTTTGTTTTTCCTCGTTTGCTCTTGCAAATAAGAAGTTTGCTTTTCATTTCTCTTTCTCTCTTGTCTTGTTTGACTTAAATTGGTTTCTTTCTTTCAAGAAAACAATATTTTTATTCAAACAGTAATTGAATAAAATATTGTCTGTGATTCCCCCCCTTCCCACCCGATCCTCTGTTTCTTTTCTTGCTCACTCCTTCTCTGATGGATCCACACAGGGCCATACAGCAAGGGCAAGTATATTCAATATTGGTCCACGTTCCCTACCTTTACTTCCTACTCCCTACCACTGCCTCCTCCTTCCCACCCCCTCCCCTCCTGCTGACCTCCTTCCTACTGTACCCTCACCTATCCCAGCCTGCTTGCCTCTGTTCCTGCCCGTCTTGCCTTCAGGACCCCCTCTTCTTTCCTTTTCCCTCTTTTTTTTTTCTGCCTCCTCTTCCTTCTTTTATCCCTCTTCCTTTTCCTCTTCACCTTCTTGCTGCAGCTCAGATCCCACATCTCTCACGATGGCTCCTACAGTCGCCCAACCTCACCCTCCACCACATATATTCTGCTGCTCCAGAAGCATAAAAAAGCCTACTGCACCCAAGGAAGACAGATATTCATGTTCTCTGTTAAAGCTTGTCTTTTGTCCACCACTTCTAATCCTTCCTCTTCTGTGAATACTGTAGCTCCAAATGGGTTGTCTGCCTTCTTTCTGCCCCTTTCTCCCTCTCTTTCTCTCACTTTCTTCTCATTTTCTATTACCATATTTCTCTCTTTTTCTTAACTGCTATTTCTGTCTTTTGAAATCATTGATTCTCTTTCACTTGTCTGTCTCTTTCTTCCTGTCTTTATCTGACAGTGTCATAAATGTCTTGATAAATTCTCACACTAGAGTGCAGGTATTGCCAAAAAAAACTTGTTAGTGCAATAGCCAGATCGGTTTTTATTAGTGTTACATACGATAAAAGATTTCTGTTGTTTGCTGAAACATTTTCAGAATATAGGAACGTACACATAGTAATCTGAAATTTACATTTTCTGGCTTAATATACCATGACATCAATATCATCTTATTTATAGTGAAGTAAATCATCATTTTTTTGTGGCCACAATATTTTAATGTACTGAAAAACGTATTGATCTCTATGTATAAAAAACACATTACTGTTAGCTGCCGAAGCGTCTTGTCTATAGCTTGAGGCGTTGCATCATGCAGACTTGTTCCTACAGGGCTGAGCTGTCCTGCCCACCCAGGTCCTACCATGTTGTCAGGTGTCAGGGTGCTGCTTGGAGCAGCATCTGACTCCTGTGTCGTCCCTCTCTACTCTCTGTCTCCATCAGCTTGTCTCCCTCCCTCCTCACCCCTCAGACCAGCAGGGGTGCGGCCCAACACTTCCTCAGTAAACCTGACCCTGGATGTGCACGGCATTGTGGGCGGAAAACTACCTGGGCACTCTATTTTAGCTCTAAATGTCAATATTTGACTCCTCTGCTGTACAGGGTTACAGGTCCTGGCATAATGAGAAAATAACCTGTTGGATTCATCGCAGACTCGCCTCTCGAGACTTTAATGATGGTTGATATTTTGTGTGTTTTGTCTGTGACAGATGAAATAAAGTTGCCCTTCGACATGCCCTTCACAATGCAATGCATTTCCTCTGATTGTGTCTCTCTCTGAGCCCTCTCCCTGCCAGTCTGAGGGGTGACCACTTCCATCAGGACCTTCACCCACCTCTCCTGCAATAGTTGGCCATGTTGATGCCTGCCTGATCTAAAAGCACTCACTGTGTGTAATCCGTCTGAGAACTTGCTTCCTGACACACCACATGTGGCCAAGTCAGTTCTCAGACATCCAAAGTATATTTGATTGAAAGCAAATGAATCAGAAAATGTTTGACATAGTGATAAAGAAAAAATAAATAAAAGGTGTGAGTGCTTATGACAAAAAAAAAGCAGTCATCCATTGAGAGTCAGGTTTTATTTTAGGCACCATATTGGCTAACGTTAATGTTCCCATGATACCTCAGTGTTGCTATGGTAAACTCCCTTTTGCGTCCCTGCACCTCTGAAGAACAGCTGCTGTTTACCTACAGCTCCCCACTGCTCTGCCCACTGCTCTTCCCAGATAATCTTCCCCTTTCTGTTGCAGATTTTGAATCACTGCTGCCAAACAGTTTTGAGTCTGAAGGACATGTGTTCATTGCTCCCAGGTAGCCCTGTGTGTGAATGCTTGCTGTCATTGATGGTCATCAGTTTTTCATCTTGTCTTCACATCTTGATGCACAATATACTTTTTTTGTTATTGTTTTGTTACAACTGAACATTCAGTCATTTCCTTTCTTGAATTGTTTTGCTTTTTCTGTTCTTTGTGATGAGTTGCATTGTGTAAGTTGCTGGTTTGACTGATTTCATTTATTATTATTAATTTGATCATTTTGAGTGGCGTGTGACGGCTTTTGTTTGTTTGTTTTTGCATTTATCTGTTCTCCTCCCAAAGCTCGAAACACACATCAGATCTGTTTCGCATGCTGCTGCTGTGGTGCTGCATGTTTGTGTGTTACACAAATACATTTAGGGAGCATTGTTTTGGTTGTACATTGCAATGTTAAGAATACGACAGATATTAGACTGCAGATTGTGTAACTAGAAAACAAGACTGAAATCCCTCAGCATGTGCTGTTTTGTCATCAGACCCTCATATTGTATCCTGAAACACACTGATAAAATCGGGCTTTCACTGTGATGCCCGGGCTCTGCTCTGCAGTCCGATCCATATTTTGTTTTGACTGACAGGTGCATGCTGTACATAGTAGCGTCAAGTAACAACGTGTATGGTTTCATGCTACTCCACTGTGTTGTGCTTCCCTCTCTAAATGACAAATGAGGCACACAGCTGTGTCAGAAGTATGTACCCATGTTTGTTTTTACATTATTATCCATCTTTAACGCCTCATCTGGTCCTCAGGGAATACTGCAATGATCTGGAGCTGTCCAACAATAACACTGAGTTCCTACTCAACTTTATTGCTCTCATGGAGAAGGTGACACCAGACTCCAAACAATGTGAGTTTTATTTCTTTTCAGCCATACACAAAGTTAACTGAGACTAAGTTTTGAAACACTTTTGCTATAAATGTGGATATAACTTAGATTCAGTGCTTGTTTCCAATATTCTGTTTACATTTAGGTGACAGTTTGCTCCTTCATAATCTGATTCTGGACACTGGCATCATCAGGCAGTTGGTTGAGAAGGTGTGGAAGAATAAAGACTTGAACACGTGAGTATTGGCTAGTATTGAGGGAGCTGCTTTTTTTTAGATGCGGGCTGTGGATAAGAACTTTTTCTCTCTCTTTGCTCCATCCTGACATTTAGATACGGCTTTCTGGCTGTGTTTGCTGCAACAGATGGAGGTATAACAAGAGTGTTTCCAAACAAGTAAGTGCACTCTTCATCAAAGCTGTGTGTCTGGATTTCAGCAGCTCTGGTTCTCACTTTGTTCTTTTTTTTTAAAGCTATGAAGACTTAAAACATTTCACATACATTTTGGATAGCAGGAAGCTTGTACTGTACATCACAGCTCCAGTTTCTGTGGTCTTTAATCTCAGGGCTGCAGAAACCTGGGAGGAAGACCCTGAGCCATTTAATGCCAGCTATTACCGCCGCAGTCTCGACAACAAGGGCTACATCTTCCGAGCGCCTTATCGAACAGGTGAATAATGCTCTCAGGGTTATTTATCTCACACAGGGCCTCATAATGTGGCAGCTTTTTGTTCCTGAACCCCCTGAGT